GAAAATGAACTAACAAAGATCAAGTCAAATAATTGAATGGAGTTCACTGCTTTATTGTCTGCGAATAAACGAAGCAACTTACAAATTCCAATCGATGTAAGAATGGGTTAAAGGGTTGGAATCTGGTGAAGAAAAAAGTACTATTTTAACTTTCTATTGGTTACTTAGCTCTGAGCATAGGACTCACTTAACATTGATGCTTACTTTTCATCTCTTCCACTGCCTTATTCTTACTCCCACGCATCTTGCTTTTGTCTGATACCCCAAATCCTACTTGAAGTATAGCTTTCGTATTTAGGAAAGTCCAGCGTCTCGTGCAAGACTTCTGGAAGGACACCAGTTCCAAAGGAGAAATCTAAGAAAAATTGCAAAATGCCCTAAAGGTTGACTTACTGATGAAACGCTGCTGGCTGTTTCACTGAATTTACATTTCTTAACATTCTGTTGTCCCAATTTCGTGATTCTTCCCTGTTATCTAGGTTCAAGTTTTAATGGCTAATTTGTTGGTACTTGCAATTTGTTAAGTTTCGTTGAGGTTCAGTTATTTTGGTTTCCATTACGCAGAATTAGAGCGCTTAGAACAAGCATGGAGTTGGCATAGCGGAGGTCGTGAACCTTGAATCGGAGTGAAAAGAATTGTTAAATGGATCACCAAATAATTTGTAATTTGGCCCATTCTCCCCCACTTCGAAATATGCTTTTATTTTTGATAGGGATATTAATATACTTTAAGATAAAAAAAACTCCTAACGTTTGTTTGGACGTAATCTGTCAACTATTTTGACTGGTATTACTTGTTAAACTATTTGAAATATAATCAAATTTTGACCAATCCTGCACTCACAATTTTCATGACTCTCATAAAATCGAATGATTGCATCGTGCATATGATTGAAACAGTGCTTGCAAAACCTCCAATAATTTATACATTGGGAAAATAAAAGTGGGCTGTGGAAGATGAAGAATTTCTGAACAAAACAAATTGTCCACGTGGCCTCCACGAAATACTTTATTCATTTGAAATACAAAGAAAGTGGGACTGGTATGAGGTGAACAAATATTTCTATTCGAGTACATTTGTTTAATCTTGATTTTCATAAACCCGTCCACTTTCATGTAGTAATGGCAAATGGTTTTTACCAAATTTACTATTTTATAAAATTGGTGCCACTCTCGTCTATGGAGTTGTAGGGCTATCAGTAGAGTTTGCCATGTATAGAGCCAAAAACCGCTTCTACCTGAGTTTGTTTTATCTATAAATATTATGACAAAGGAATTAAAATGTGAATTCGTTTTCTCTCACGAAAATTGTCTTTCCATGCTTCAAGACGGCACTCCAATCAACATACACTTCAGTCCGGAATCGGTGTTTGTATATTTCACTTTTCTCTTCTTTTTAATAGATGCGATATGGCAATAAATCCTACTTTGTTTCACTCTAATTTCTTCACTGTTTATTTCCAAATACTTCCCTCTAATAAATTTATAAATTTATTTTTGCTCTACTGTCATAGAGATTTCAAAATGTAAGCCTTTACATTTTCGCGCATGTAGTGAACAATTGATTATGCCGTTTCATTAATCAGAGGGGAGCATTCCTGTCAAAAGATCATCCCTTTGCACCTTGCTTGATTCTAAATTGTTCAATTATTCACTAACCACTTATTTATTTCCATTTTAATTAGCCATAAGCAGCATAAGCATCTCTACTTTCCTTAAAATATTATTGTCTCTGGTGGCTTGTTATTGAATAGTATATAAACATTCTTGCATTAAAATCCCAGCAATAGATTTTTAAAACTGCGAATCAATAAAAAATATTATTGTTATTGTTATATGCATGGAGCATGCTAAGAACAGGTAGAACATCAATTAAGTGCAGAGTACTTTTCAAGCTGGAATTCAGATTCTTCCTCAGTAGCAATAATCACGATCTCTGGTATCTAAATTAACAAAGAAATATATCTTTTAAGTACCAATTTTTTTTGAAATCACTGCAAAATGTAACTATTACAAGTTATTAAATTTCAAAATAGGTTACGACTTACGGCGAGGGCAGTTTTGATATATTTGCGGTTGTTCCATTCTGCAGGCGTTGTTGCATCTACATCTCCTGTGAACATGACATGAGCAAATGTGGTTAGGATTAGGGGAACTGTTGTTGCTGCAGGATTCGTGTCGATGGTGATGCTGCCTCTTTCCCTCTGTTCGCTGATGCGATTTGTCATTGTGTCTATTGTGGGTCATTCTTCTTTGTCGCTTGTCTTCCTGTTCACCTGAATTGCTCACACTCTGCTGGAGCCTTTTATTTACATCTCAGAGTTTAGAGGTTGGCTGTTTTATAATGTCATTATGCCCTTAACCTAATCCCATTACATTGGTTGAATTAAAAGGGTTGGGGAAATTTGCTCGAGAGCTATGTTAAAAGCATTAAATTAAAAGGATCGAATTAGCATGCTTTTTTCTACCTAGCCCGTGTCGAGTAAAACATATATGTTGGCAATTAGTTTAGAAGTAATTTATATGGGTAACAGCAAAATTAAAACATATGTGAACGAAAAACAAAATAATCGTTTCTTGATAGTGATTATATTTAAAAACCCTTATTATTGAGAAAACTAATGCAAAGCAGTCTTCAATATTGATAAAACAGAATGATGCAGAAAAAATATAATTTAATGGAAGCGAAGGAATCTCCTTCTTTGAAAATTTACAAGCTTCAAAATAAAGAAATTTGAAGTCATTAATACTACTTATTGGTCATAGGTAGTGTAGTATTTTCCAGTCATTTTAAATAGAATTGGAAAAAGAAAAGAATGTTTTCGATTTTCCTCTTTTATTTTGACATATATATATATATATATATATATATATATACTTGGGTAATCTTGCACGAGATCCGACACAACACCCGCGTGTTCCACCATACACCTTAGGCTCCATTTCCTCTACCCTTACGTACCATATCTTGCATTTAGATCCTATATCTATCTCCTCCCTATGCAGGGCAGCAACCACAAGCATTCATCTGCTCCCTCCTCCCCTGTCCCCCACTCCCCCCCCTTCCCACCATCCTCCAACACTGCTTCGCATTGATGTGGCACCCTTTTAGCCCTCTTCCGTTCTGCATCCGTTGTCGATTGTTTTATCCTTTTCAACAATATATTAACCCTAATGTAAATAAAATACGCTACTCAGAGGTTCTCAAGTGTAACCTTAAATATAGTTGCACAATGGGCTACTAAGTAAAAAATACAGGAGTGCACGAACGATATATGATATTAAACCTCATATTTTTCCAATGTAACTGTCAAAAGCCGTAATTAACATTACATAATTCACCTGAACCGACTCTCCTGTAAATTGTGAATTCTAATTCAACAATTTAGATTTTTCGCAATTACGCACTGAATTTAATGCACTAAATGGGATTAATCAAATTTAAATAACCTACCTCAAAGTCTGATTAGCATAATTGACTGAAAGTGGAGTTTACGTAATTACGTACTTAAATATTTGTTTATTTTGACTCGAGGTTTCGAAATATTCAAACGCAGTGTTGAGCATTTTAAATTTTACCTGCTAGGCCTTCAATGAGTAGTAAAATTTGTGAAAAGTGTATTTGAACGTTTTTTATACTCATTAAAGTTTATAAATGATAAAATGAATATTTGCAATTTTTAAATTTACTTATATTTTATTTGCAAGTACGCGCAATGTATTTTTAAACAGATGTTAATCCGGGGACCTTAATAGTTAAGCAGATCCTAAACGAATTATATTGTCTTATGAACTAACTGTTTACGACCTGAGATACCTTTTGGTATGACAGCCTTCCCTATGTAACCCCATTCCATTTCTTCCTAGATATGTTCTCAGTATATGTAACCGGGCAAATCCCGTCAAGTCACTTCCATATTTCGAACAATTTGTATTTTGGGAGTAAAGCAGCACCCACACTGTTCGGTTGTCTTCTTCCTCACTTCCTGTCTTTTATTAAAATTACATTTTACTTTATAGCATCCGATGGACTTATTAAAATCGAATTAAGTTAAAAAGTCTTCGGAAAGCGAATACAATTTTTGAGAAATGATGACAACAAGAATTGGATTAAGGTTTTGCTTTTACTGTCCTGAAACAAATATTCGTTGCTGAAAAATAGGTAGCTGATAAGATTACTATTTAAGATGATATAATTTAATTGCGTGGTTCACGAAGAACTGCTTGAACATACATTTAATGAACTTTTTTAACTAAAGTGCATATCTAGACTTATTATTTGATTTGTATTTCTGATAGTAAAGGCTAAAGATTCACCTCGGAATGCGCTAATTAATTTTTGTCAAGAGAGGGTGTGCGATAGACTTCCCTCCGCGTGGTTCACCTGACCAACGTATACGGCAAAAAAGTCGATAAATCGGCAGTTGTCTCCTAACTTCAAGGTACCTGTGTCATATTTGATCACTTACACAGTACTCACCTTACCTTTTTCTCTACCTCTGAGTTTGCCTCTTTGCTACATCTGTGAATCTCGAAGTCGACTAAAGATGACAATCATAAAGCCTGCCATTTCATATAAAACAAAAAAATCAACTTTTGTCAAGAACATCTTTGTCCGAAAGATAATTAAATTCAACCCACTAGCATTAAATCTCAATATTTTCCCTATACAAATGCTTTGTATGTTCGTTAAGATTTATAATTTTGTACGTTCATGAAGTTAAATATAATCACTTTAAGCCATTATTAATTTAAATTTACTTCCTAATAATTTTAAACATTTCATCGAATAAAGCATGTGATAGAATATATAGTTCATTCATATCACGTTAATCCATGAATTTCCTGCTTCTTAAAAGCATTTTAGCATTTACAAGGAACCTTACGAATAGACAGAAATCCGAATATAGTTTATTTCAAGTGACATTGTCATTCAAAACATGTAAAAGCATTATAAAAGATAGTGAAAATTGTCAGATGAAATTAAATCTTCACATGCATCATCGACAACATTTTGTTCCCAACTTTGTATTTCGCTTATTGGATCGCTTGCTGGGTTCAGTTTCAACTTTCTTCCAGATGAGAACGCACTCACCATTTTCGGAGTCGTCTGTACTTTCTTCACAATCAGGCTGGAAATATTTCGGAAGGGTAGTGAATCTCGGAAGACGTTTCATCTCAACACATTTCTTTTCGGTCGAACAATATTGTGCAACAAGATCATCCCTAGAATTATCCGTCAATTTAACATCACCACATTTATCTTTAGATGGTTTTTGATTAGCAATTTGATAACAACTTTCAACAGGGTATATTCTTGGATAAGGAGATGCTCTGGGGATCCGAAATGGTTCGGTCTCAGCAGAACTGTCTGTTTCATCGTCAAGAGGCGTCAAATTGGCATCTGAAAGAGTTACCGATTATTTAAATGTGAAATTGTTTACGGATATCGTTGTAGATTTTGCAATTACAGTATAAATTCTGGGCGTATTTAGCATAATTATCACAAGTCCTGGGATGACAAGTCATTGAGCCTAAGGAATTATAAGGATGAAAATCGAAATACATAATACATGGCATTTGAAAATTCGGTAAGGTCAAGCAAAAATAATTCCTGCTTTAAATAAAACTAAAGTAGGTTCCAAGATAAATAATTAATTCGTTGCTATTTTATATTTAGTGTATTTAATCACTTTAAATTACAATAATCCCTGAGCAAGATCATTATGCCTTCATTGACATTCAATACTTAGTTGAATCAATTTCAAACACTAATTTAAGGACCTAAATTTGAATCAACCTTCAGTATATTTTTGACTTATAAAGCATGTCAAAAATGGACTTTGACTTTATGTGCTAAATTCTTTTATTAATATATGACGAATAACAACCTGGTATTCTTGAATATGTAAATAAATCTTCTCTATCGAGGCACTGATTAATCTACAGATATTTTTTTCAACTTTTTATAATAAAATAACTCTACAATAACTTATTTTTCACATAATCTAGAATAGCATGGCTTTTATCGTAGTTAATACCTCAACTGTTTTCATAAATTCTCAAGTTGGAGTAGATTCAAGGCAATTAACGGAAGGAAGTTTGGCAAAAATAGAGGAGAACTGACAGAAGTTATGTTCAAGTTTTCTTCACTTTATAGCAATTTTCAAAAATAACAGATTAAATATAAGTAACTAGCCCTTTAAACAAAACTACCTTGTTTCCACAGCAATGCTTGTAATTGTTCGATTGCCTCATTTAATACACTAAGACGTATATAAACAATCTCTTAACTACTATTCACGAAAATTACAAAATGATTCCAAAAATTCAATGCTGGCATATATATTCAATTATAAGTGACAATGGAAGAATTAGTTCCGTTGATTTTATTTTAGATTCAATTTACTTTTCGTAATGTCAATCAATCAAAACAAAGCAAATAATTTCAAAAAAATAATCTGAATGCATTGATCAATTTCTAGAGTTTAGTCTAAAATCATAATTTTTTAAAATCTTGCCTAACCCTAAGTGACCTTGTAAGTATGTTTAAGTTAGTCAATCCTACCGGGCACAACGCTTCGCCTCGTTTGGTTGTTCCCTTTGCTATTTATCAATGATGGTGTCGCAGGCTCTTATTCTTACCTTCTTCATACATCTTTCTTTTTGTGTGGATATTCAACGTGGCCCAGAAAATCCTTACGCTGAAACTTCAAAATGCGAACTTATTCGAATTCCTGCTTGTCAAGGTCTACCCTACAATACTACTATCCTTCCAAACATCATGGGCCACACTTCTCAAGAGGAGGCTGGTCAAGACATCACTCAGTACAACTCCCTTGTGAAAATACCGTGTAGTCCTTCTCTTAAGCTATTCCTTTGTTCTCTGTATTTCCCTGTTTGCACGCAATTGCAAAAACCATTACCACCCTGTCGCTCTTTGTGTGAACAAAATCGCCAAAGATGTGAACCTATTATGCGTTCGTTCAGTTTTCAGGTATTCATATATTCGTTTGTTAAAGAAATAAAATTTTTAGTGGCCTGCCAGCATGCAGTGTGAGAACTTTCCTGAAAATGGGCTCTGTGTATCCGAGGCAAAACCAGAAAACAAAGAAACAGTTGAGGCCACTTTAGAGTGCCCTGAAGAAATGAGAGTTAGTTTTATGTGTTTCCTTTATGCTTTCTTCCCTAGGTTCCTTCAAGTTTCGAGTTCAGAATTCGTTTAAACAACAAGCAAGTTATCCCGAATTGTGGTATGCCATGCAATCGCCATTTCTTCAGTCAGTCAAAAAGGATTAAATTTTCTCGCTTGTGGATTGGATTATGGAGTGGTTTGTGCGCCGCCTCAACTCTCTTCACGATTTTAACCTTCTTCATTGATATTAATCGATTCCAGTATCCGGAAAGACCTATTATTTTCCTGTCAATGTGCTATTTCATGGTCGCCATTACTTATATAACTGGACTATTTCTTGGCGACAGGGTTCGTGTTATTTATATTTTTAAATGATGTTTTTTCTTTATTTGCTTGTCTGCATATTTAGTCAGGCTTTTGTTTTTTACTTATTCGTGACCTGCTTAAGTACCAGTATAAGCCCTATGAGGTGGCTGTTCGTTATATCGGATCAATTTACTATTAGTAGGACAATAAATGTGTAATCAAAGTCAGTTATTGGGTTACTGGATATTATGTACCTGAAAATGTGAACTTCGTTATAGACTATGAATTTCCAAATTCCTAAACCTTCCAATTATTTTGTTTCAACTTTTTGTGTCAATGAATCCATTTTAGCTTCAATTGTCATTTAACTCTTTTTTCTAGATTTCCTGTGCAGGTCCATTTCCACCTTCCAGTATGGATGCGACCTCTGGTTTGAGTCCGACTCCGCTATCATCTTCGCCTTATCCTCTACTTATCACTCAAGGAACCAAATTTGAGGGTTGTACAATTCTCTTCATGATGCTCTACTTTTTCTCAATGGCTGGTCACATTTGGTGGGTCGTTCTAACGATCACTTGGTATCTCGCTGCAAAGTGTCACTGGGCTCATGAAGCCATCTTCAGAAATGCTCAGTATTTGCATTTCGCCGCTTGGGCCATCCCCGCAGCTATGACAATCTGCCTATTGGCAATGGGAAAGGTTGATGGCGACCCCCTGTCAGGTGTCTGCTTCACCGGTTTGACAGATCCCACTATTGTGAGGTACTTCCTCGTTGCTCCGCTTTGCGTATCTCTACTCCTTGGAGCATGTTTCCTCATCGCTGGTTTCGTATCTCTCTTCAAAATTCGTACAATTATCAAGACTGGAGGATCAAAAACTAACGATCTTGAGAAGCTGATCTTTAGAATTGGAGTGTTTAGCTTGCTCTATCTGTTACCTGCTGCTGTTGTTATAGCGTGTTACATTTATGAGTCTCAAAAGATGGATAGTTGGATGCTGACTTGGTACACAAATAACGTTTGTAGAAACTTCGATCCACGGAAAATTGCAGGCTCATCCAAGTGTATCCCTCAGTTACACCAAATTCTTGGCGATTCTGACCAGCTTTCAAAAGGTGGTTCTCCAGCCGACGTTTTCGACAAAATGGACACTCCGACATTCGAGCTTTTCATGATAAAGTACCTCATGACGCTTATTGTTGGGATAACCAGTGGAATTTGGGTCTGGAGTTCGAAAACCCTCCATTCTTGGCATGTATTCTTTGCAAGGATTTGCCGATGTACTCCACCTCCTAACCCCCAGGTCAATCAGATGGTTGTTGCGCAAGGCAACAGACAACTACAAGGCCGTAGTGGTTACGGACAAGTGAAGGCACAGCAACAGCAAGCGTTGCTTGAAGCTACAGGTCCAGGAAAAATGCCAATGACAGAAATTGGGGGCTCAACAAACTGGGCGACACGAGGTCAACCCTCTGGTGCGCCTACTAACACGGATAACACAGGGGCGTACAATTGGCCACCGTCTGCATCTCAAACGATGACGTATTTTGAGCACTCTCAACTCCAGTGAGAAAAGATTTGGTCTGCATTTAAGCCCGGGGTCATTTGGTAACTCTCTCTCTCGTTTAAACTGAAAATCCACTACGACAAGCAATCTACCTACGCGAAAGTCCCATCATCTACATCATTATTTGAGTAAGTTAAGGCTACCAAAAGCGTGCTCATTTAGTAGTATATTTGGGTGATCGAGAGCAAGGGACGTCTAACAAGCTTTTTCATCCAGACTTGGGCGTGGTTGACATTTTTGACAATTTGTTGTAGTTAATTGAATTAAGTGAATGTCTGCTTTCGTTTTGACGAGTTTTCCAATATCACGGCAGATATAGCTCTACTTTTATCGACAAAATTTCTAACTTCGTTGAATACTCTCTTGTATCCGGAAAATGCACAATCCTATTTTACCGAATCCGTTATCGTATCGAGCTGCCTCTCGTAAAATTTAACTACTTCCCCACTTACGGAATGCTCAAATTGTTTATTTAAACTTTCAGCTTGTGTTTAATGAGGATCAATAATCCTAGAAATAGCAGCGGAATAGGGATGGGCTTGAATCTTATCTGGAATTATTAGTGTTGCTTATCTATCATTGTAACATCCATTTTTCTCGCTCATACTTGTGCACTACACGCAGGAGTTTAGTTGGATGATTTGGTTGCACTGACGCACATGTCTGAAATGGCACTTCTAATGTCATGTCATGCAGATGAATTTGTGTGCGCGTGTCTGCTCGTTCGATCATTCCTTAATCCTAATCTACATAATTAGCGCCAAACTGCAACCATAAGATGGCCAACGCCCAAGTCGTTCCTTCCGTCCCCCTTGTCTTACTGGACAATTGCCCACTGTTTTGTAAGTTATTAAAATAGGCGACCAAAAATCGGACAATTTTTCCAGTTTCCAAGTCAATTGTGAAAGATGTGAATGCCGAAAACCTAAACTGTCATGGAGGGTAGCGAAGCATTTGCTGTCTTTCACTTCCTTTTCCTAATTCGTTTTCCTACTATCTTGTCCATTTCAAGGTCGTCTGTGACCTTTTTCTTCCTCTCGTACGCAGAGAAAGGCAGTCCAAACAGGGTAGAAGTCGTTCTGACATCCATAAATTATTTTTGCGTGCGTTCGCCATTTGTTGTTTTGCAACAGCGCGATAGTAGTGCGTGATGATAAATGGCTGCTTTCGCGTGTGTCCGTGTGTGCGCGTCCGATGAGTCACCCAATAAGCCTCATGCGTTCACCCTCATTCTTTCGTTAGTGCGTCCATGTATTCAATGACTCACCCAATAGGGTGTGTGCGCGTGCTGTACCTACCCTGTAAATCATCCAAATGCGTGCATCTATTTCATGTAGTTTATTGGCTGAAAGTAGATTGATGAGTCATTTGATTTACATCTACGCGCTTAAGATTTATGTGATATTGTGGTACTATTGTAATCTGCTTTTCTTTTCTCTTTAGGTACTTCTTTTCACTTCATCGCCTCCTATTATTATCATCAGGGTCTATAAGTACTATTACTACTGTTTCTCTTTTCTCCAACTTATCCCCTTTTCCTGCACACAGAAAACGAATTCTAAAGTTAGTCCCCACATTGTACATAAAGTAACGGTGAATTTAAATATTTCTGGTTTGAACTCGCATTTTCCCTTGTTTTGTGAGCATCATCACGTGGAAAGACCTTTTCCCCCTCCCTTCATCACGTTTTCGAACCCCTTTACAACTAATATTAACGAAAGTACTTTAATTTCACTGGTGTTCTGATTTAAATTAAAATGGTAGTACATCCTGGCCACATCAGTTAATTTTTGGGGTCGAGACCTTGTATTTCGTAGCTTTAAGGTTCTTATTCACCTTTTCTCAGGTCAAGGCATTACGGTGCCCCAGTCAAGTTGGGGTTTTAGACTAGATGGGAAGTTTCCGGTTTCCTGAAACGGGAGGAGTCTTAAGTCAGTCGGCTTAATGATTCATTGGCCGAGTGTGGCTTTTGTTCATTCTTGGACATCGCGTCATGGTCGAGGTGGACGTTGACTGGTTTTTTAAGACGGAGAAATCTGGTTATCGCTAACCGCCTGCCTTAACGGAAGCATGGATTTTGTAGGACTCTTGCCAGATTGTGTCGGTAAAGGTTTACTGTTGAAAATAGACAAAGTTTCTCTCAAACTTTATTGTGGATGGGATGTATTACATGGTGCAGTTGCTGTCCATGGTGACACTTTTCTAGTCTTTGAAGGCATCTTAATGAAGTAGGCAACAGACGATACCAATTTGGTCAGAAACTTCTGGGATCAATTAGGCGATGAGTTCGGAATGCCAAGAATTTAAATTTTTTTGTCCCATAGAAACCCATGTATCCATGTAAGGGATCTGGTCCATGACATGTCTCCTAATTTCGAACTGAGGAAGTTTGAAGCTTAACTTCACAGTTATAATGCATTAAAGTCTTAGAAAGGTGGAAAGTTATGTATTAGAAACCGATGGCGTTTGTCATTATAGAAAAATTAGTATGACTATCACGGATGGGACATTGTAGGAATGGTCAATTATTCAGTTGCGCAAATAAAAAAATCGATTAATTCGCTGAAATTCATTGAAGTAATTTGGGCTTGCACACTGTGTCGTGAACGACATAAAATCAATTGTTCAGTTGGCCTTAGTATTACCATAAAAGGAGTAACTTTTTTGTAAAAAATCGAAGCGCAGTTTTTATATAAATGCAGAGAAACACCTGGTAAAGGAAAAAACGAAATTTTGCGCACGAAAATCGTCTAAATGCCGAGTATACGGGGCCTCTTTTATGGACAAGCCACAATCCACAGTTTCGTATTAAGAACACTGACGGAAATGCGGGAAAAATTGTTGCAAAAAGCAGTAAATGCTGAAATATGAAAGTGAATTATAGCGAGAAAAAAGCGGCAAGCATTGTTGGCGTTTTTCGCATCATTCTTTGTCTTAATTTCAACAGCGAGGTTCTTAAAATTGAAACAGAATTGTCTTAATTTCAGCCCCATTAACTTTGTCTGGGAGAAGATAGCCTGTCAAAATTTCAAAAGGGTTCGTCCCTCCGCCACCCCCCCCCCTTACCTCCGCTACCTAATTCACTTCTCATCATCATCACTTTCAACGTCTGTTATCTATCCAGGGATGGAGCACTTTGAAATGTTAAACGAATTGAAATGACGACACTGTCAATACTGGAATTTAAGAATAGGATTGGCTAGTTGTGAAAGGGTAAAAGGTTTCCTATTCGTTGCATTTCGTGATAGAGTCATTCTATTTATAAAGTCAACCAAAGCGTAATACAGTTCTTATGAGCAATAAGTTTAACGCATTTCGAATGATTTATTAATCTCATGAAGTGAGAGGGTTCCACAAGTCGATTTAGTGCATCCAGAGTAAGTAAATTAAAACAGGATCAATTACCACTTCGAGCATTATTTGTTTCGACCCACCAGTGCAAGACGTCGAGGTAATTATTATAAACTGCTTAAATCAGGAGCTAGTTTCGTATTAATTGGATAAAAGGATTAGAAAAATAGATAATAAATGAGGGGGGGGGGAGGACGCGAAAGGCGAATTATGATTGAAGTCTGGAAAGAAGATATCCTAGCTGAACGACGTCGGTTTCCTACTCCTTAAGGCATTCGTCATGTTAATGAACTCCTCCTGAGGTTGTCCGTCATGAGTAAAATCGGTTTCTATCCCTCCTATTAACGATATGCGGGTCCGCTATCCACTGGGAGAAGGCTTGTCGTCCAACCCCAACCAAAGCAAATACAAAATACCCCCCCCCTTGTTCGAGTATTCTGATTTAAAGTAACGCGTGATTAGTTTTTTTCCGCCCACGAAACTCAATTTTTTAGACCTCAGTTACGACGGTTTACTAGCAGCCGCATTCAAGCTGGCGCTTGCAAATTAATTAAAGTAGCTGACGGGTAGTGGTGGTACGATATATGCGCCACTATTTTAAATGGAAATTCTACCCAGGAAAACAGTAGCAGTTGCAGACATTGCGCGTCGTCAACATCCGAGTAGTTTGAGTTGCCGTCTAGACATGAAGAGTACCTCTCTTCCTTCCACCCCCCCCCCCCCCCCCCCCCCCCCCCCCCGCCTTCTCCCCTTCCGAGACCAGTTTGGATCAACTACATTATTTATTTTATTTGCGTATTCTGCTAAAAAGATAATTGGTGCAAGAGGTCTGTTCCTTTTGTTAATGCAATCTGGAAGAGCAAAGTATTATTGTATTGAAATTTAAATGACAAGCGCACTAACTGATCAATTATTTCCCTTCAGCGGTTTAACGTTTGAGTGCAACATTTAAATCGCTTAATGTCAAAATGTGGGAGGTGTAGTATGTAGAATTTAACTTTGTGTGCTTGGGTCAATACAATCTATGATCTCTTTTCCTAGAATTCAAGTCCAGAAACGAACATTAGTCCATTACTATTACTCTTTAAGTTGTGCACAACCTTGGTACTTTATTTGAATTTCCACGCAATCACTAATATTATTTAAGAAGTGAATATCAAAACCTAACTAAACTGTCGAGTATGGGAAATTGGTATACGTTATAGCTTTGAAATTCGGGGTGTGCGATAGACTTACCTCCCCGTGGTGCACCCTGGGTAACGTATACTCATACGGCAAAAGTCTAATAACCTGCAGTTGACTTCTGGCTTCTAACTACCATCACCCCACTGCATGTCATATTCGACTTCTTCACAGTGCTCACTTCATCTTCCATTTACCTTTGTGTCTGTCTCTTTTACATCTTTAAAACACTCTACCTTTGTGTCTGTCTCTTTTACATCTTTGAAACACTCTTCAAACTTTGTGTCTGTCTCTTTTACATCTTTGAAACACTCTTTTGTTCCCCCCCCCTCCCCCTCTCGACTTTTTTCACTTTGATGTTTTCCACCTTTGTGTTTGTCTCTTACATCTTTGAAACACTCTTCTGTTGCACCCCCCCCCTCTAGACTTTTTTCGATTTGATGTCCCTCTTTCTCCCCCCCCTCTCGACT